GTTTTTTTTTGTTTTTTTTTTTTTTTTTTTTCTGTGTGGTTCTGAGCTTGATGGATGTCATGTTGGCAGAAGCCAGGAAAGGCCTGTGGGCTGATCTGTGCTGCCTTTGGCACAGGAAAGGCAAACTGCTTTTTTTTTTTCACTGCAGGAGTAGTTTTGTAACTGGCCTGCTGGCACCAAGGTTTAGCAGTGATCCTCTTCCCTGAAACCACAGGATCATCTAGGCAGGCAGGCAGCCCGGCACCCGCCTTCCCTGGCCTTGCCCCAGCTCTGTCCTTGCAGCTGCAGAAAGAAATCACGGCTGGGTAAAGGAACCCTGACACAGGCAGCCAGATGAGTAATGCAACAGGCAGTATTATTTTAGATGCTACTGTGTGTATTGATACGTGCACACACACAGAGCCTTTTTGGTGTAAAATCCATGATGGCAAGGGGCTCAAGGTCTGCCTGGTGGTGTCTGTGCAACCAGAAATCCTCCCCGAGGTGGTTTACTCTGCTGCTGCAGGCTCCTACAGCGCGATTCTACCCATGGGTCTTGGAGCTTTTACAAAGACCGATGTCCATAGGCTTCTTGTACCAGGAGAGGTACAAGGAGACTTGTACCAGTGGGGAGACATGAGTGACCAGGTCTTCTGGTGAAGAAATTGAGTGGTGCCTGCCTGTGCCTATTGCCCAATTTAATCTACTTTCTCCATCCCTGGCAGCTGTAGAAAACAAACGTGGTGAGGGCTGGCACATTATGGTTGTGACTTCAGCTCCCTTTGGCTAAAGACTCCCCCATCCTCTTCACCCCTCTGGCCTGTTCTGCAAGTATTCCTGAAAAAAAAATCTTTACATAATGTTGTGTCAGTGAGCCTTTGAGAAGGGCGTGACCCAGGTTCTTCAAGTCACTTCCTAAAGTGAAAATGTTCAATTTCTGAGGATGTTGCACATGTGGCCATAGGGCTGATCTTGTCCAGTCTTCAGGACTTTCCATTGACATCAACTTAAAAAATCCAGGATCTGCTTTTGTACAGACTTGCCTGGTGCTGGAAGCATCAGTGTGACTGTGGAAATGCAACCAGTGAGTGTCTGAGGAGTTTGGGATATGGGATTTGTCTGAGCAGGAGGTTCTCCTGTGCCTATCTGCATGGCCACAATACAGTTTTGGCTCCAACGGTGCTTGCTGCTTGTTGTTAAATTTCCGACTAGTTTGCGAAGCCTAAAACTGTCTTTTAGTTTGGCGCATGTCGAATGTGCATCAAATTCCCAGGATTGTTTTGATTTTCTCAGACTTGTTTTTCTTGAATCAGGCCTCCTCTAAGCTCATGACAAGGCAGGGAAGGGTGATGTTGCTCTGAAAAAGATGTCACAGTGGGGAGAGATGAAGAGTCAGGATGTGGTGACTCTCCTGGGGCTGCCTGTGAGTCTCAAACCTCCCTGTGTCTGCAATGTGCTGCCCAGGGCCTGGGGAGCCCCTCACCAGGTGTGGGAATGCTGGCCTTGTTCCCTATGAGAGCTCCGCCTGGCACCAGCGAGATTTTGCCTTCCCTTTCTGTTTGTGCCAGCAGGGCTCTGCAGGAGCCTGCTCCTCTCCCACAAGGTGCCCACGGGCCAGATTCACCCTGTGGCTCCAGAGGTGGCTCTGCAGCAGCGCTGGGGGTGGAGTATGCCTGCCAGCCCCTCTCCTTGCTGCTGGCCACTGAAAAGAGCCCAGAGTGGGAGACCTGGAAAATCTGCAGAGCTGGGACCTTGAGAGCAGCCTCCTAGGCCAGGTCCAGGCTACACCCCACTCTACTAACTCCTCCCCCTCACCTCCCTGCCAGTCTATCCCGTCTCGCATTGCCCAGTGCCACTCACCTCTTGCCAGACATGACGAGGCTGCTGTTTGGCCCGATACTCCTGGAGTTCATCTTCTCCAAAAAACATCCGCCCACAAGTCTTCTCCCTTCCAGGAAAGCGGAGCGACCCATCGCCCTGTTGGCATGGAGCCCGGCTCTCCCAGCTCACGCAATGGGCTGCTTTACCTGCGATGCCGCTGGCTCATGCTTGCTGCGTGGCAAGTGGCAACCTCCTACCCACTCCACCAGGCGGGGGGGCTGCTTTAAACATTATTTCAACAGAAAACTTTGAACCACCTGCTCCATTTACTGTGGCCCTGGGTTGTCTGATTCAACCCTGAGCTCCCACAGTTGCTGCCAAAGGCAGTTCAGGAATTGGGGATGTGGGAGCTGGGATGAGCTCAGAGGCCCCCAGGGGGAGGTTTCAGGCCAGTAAGAATTTTACAAGCCCTGGGAGCCTGATTCCTGTAGCTGGGCTCCAGAGCGGTTGAGAAAGCAGAAGGAGGAACAAGGGGTGGAAGGGACAGTTTCAAAGGTGGTTTTGGAAGGTTTGTGAGGCTCGGCGTGTTTAGGGGTCTTTGCTAACTGATATCTTGGGGGACCCAGCTGTGCTTTGCGCTTTTGGGTTGTGTTTATGTTTGGCAAGAGCAACGCACTGGGTCAGGGCTGAGCACGCTGCAGAGCCAAGGCTCACCTCGCCTCCCTCCGTGAGCCAGAGGACCTTGGCCAGGGAGGGGAGGAGTAGGACACTGCCGCCCTGCCTGGAGTGGGGAGCAGCTGTGTTGTCCCTTTTGCCGATGGCAGGAGGGTGCTCTCGTCTCTCTGTGAGGCTTTGGATCAGCTGGGAAAGCTGCCCATGTGTTTGGGGCTGGTCCAGGCAGGTGTACTCAGGGTGACCTGGTCACACCATGCCCCCAGGGGGGTGTGTTTGTATCGGCCTCGCTGGGGCAGGCTCCTGCAGGAGATGGAGGCTGCTGAGTGGCAATGGCCAATGCATGCAGATGTGGGGGGGTGTGGGAGCCACCTGGCTCAGCCTGGCACCAGCTCCCAGCCCCACCCAAGGATACAAGAAGAGGAGGCTCAGATCTGGAAAGCTGCGGGATGGACAGCGGGAACAAGGAGCAGCCCCTGCCTCGACATAGCATGATGGGGAAGAGCTCATCTTGGCACCCCAGTGTTTGATTGTGCCTTGGGCTGGGCTTGGCAAGCCTAAAGTAGAGAGGAGGAGTCACATGGGGATCCTTTGGGGCAGCTGGGTGAGATGTAGTGCCCTGAGAGCTGATGGGCGCAGGGGAGGAAGAGGAGCAGGGCTGGGCTCAGGTCCCGAGAGGGCCTCTGCTAGAGCTGCTCCTCATTGCAGAGGAGATGAAGGCACAGGGCTCGGAAGCAGGAGTGTATCTCCCTGGGAATGCCCCAGGCATCAGCAGAGCCCTTCAAGGGGCTACAGGTGCAAGTTGAGGCAGGAACTGGTTATTGCCTGCAGCCTTCGCTGGGCTTGGTCTGCAGCTCTCCGGGCCAGAGCTCCTGGGAACTACACCAGCCATGTTCCCTGGGCTGCCTCTGCACCCAGCAGCTCTGGCACCACACCCGGGCTGCTCTGTTGCTGCCGCCAGCACCTGCAGCACCTGAGCACTGCCAGGCTGATATGGGGACCCTGATCAGGCAGGCGTGGAAACACAGAGGGGAGGCTGCCCCTCTGCTCTGCCCCCTTGCAACCAGCCTCTGGGCTGTGCTGGGACAGAGACAGGGCAAGAGGGGAACTGATAAGGCTGAGCTGCAATGAGTGGGGCTGCCCAGGACCCAGGGGTGTTGCAGCATGGCAGCTGAGTGTGGGAACCAGCCCAGACCTCAAAATGTCTGGTTTGCACAGCACCGTGGCTGCTCAAAGACCCAGGGCACAGAGTCCCAGGTGCCTGATGCAAAGAGGTGCAAGACCAGTGCCGGAGTACAGGCTTTATTTAAACCAGCACTGAGAACCCCTGGCGGCTGTGCCAGTATGGGGGGTGCTCGCATCCTCTGTGGAAGCCTGTGCTGCTGTCCTGTCCATACACACCAACAGTCTTAGTATGATACAGAGTATACAGGTAATTACAAAAGGGGGCTGCGTCCACCCCAGCGTCCATAGGCCGAGCCAGCTTGACCACGCTCTGCCCTGCTTGAACCCACCTTTTGCATCTGACATGGCCTTTAACATCGAGGGGCTGGTCTTACTCATGCTGGGTCCTGTGCTGCTACCACCGGGGTGCACCCACGAGTTGAAATCCTGCAGGTTAACGATTGCTGGGGCTAAAGATGTGAGTGAGCAGGTGGCTGTGCTAGCCCTGGCTGCACTGGCCCATCTGCCCATCTGGGCTGGGAGGACCAAAAATTCCAAGGACAGAGATGCTTGGTCATAAGCAAAGGGGGGTTGTTATGGCAGACTCCTGGGCTGGATGGTCCTGCACAGCTCGGTTTGGGCAAAAGGCACCTCTCTGCCATGTGCCTGGGTGTGGTTGTTTGGGCTGGTGACTACTCCAGCTTCATGGTCCTGTTCTTTGACCTTCCCTCAAAGTGACTGCTGGCATCGCTCCAGGTTTCTAATTAGCCAGAACTGAAACTCCTTCACTCCTTCCTAGCAGCTGATGCTGGACATGCCTTGTACCTGCAGGCTGTCCCCTGGGACTTTGCCCTGGGGGTGCCAGCCCTGCACACACACTCACCACGCTCCAGCTTGGGGTCCCCCAGCACCCACAGCCTGGCTGGCCAGGTCTGCCCTTGCCAGATGTGGGGTCAGACTTGCAGAGGTTCATTTTGCCACGGGGACGCTTTGTCTTGTGGTTGCAGATGTGACCCTGGTGCCCCTCTTGCAGCAGGGAGCCTGTTTGATGCTACCTGTTCCACTTGCTCAGATGGGAGCCAGGGAGGTGACGTGCCACCAGGGCTGGGATGTCCCACCCTGTGCATATCTCTTGTAGGCCCTCAGAGACCCTTCCTGGCTCATGGGCTTCTTCCCAGCTGGACCCTGTATGGAACCAAGCACCCCCCATGCCGTCCTCTGGCTCGTCCCTCACTGCAAAGGACAACGCACGCAGGGAAGGACCCTGTGTGCGAGGCCCCCCCAGCCATTTGGCTCTTGTCCAGTTTGAATAGCTGCTGCCCTGGGGCCACAGAGGAGAGTTGATGGGCAGGAGCAGCGGGAAGGTGGGAGGCAGACGTGGCTGGTCACAGGTCAAGCCGGAAAGCCCCGAAGTAGCTGGCTGCTGCATCGTTGTAGTCAATGGCCAAGGAGGAGACGGAGACGAAGAGCTCATCGCCAGCCTTCAGCTCAAACAGTCCCCCCTGGTAGAGAGCGTGGAGCCCGTAGTCCGCTTCAGGCGCCCAGCACTTGGTGCCGACTCCTTTGAGCAGGAGGATGGGCTGGCTGTAGGAGGTCTTCCAGTTGATGCACTGCACGAGCTGGGGGACAGAGACTCGGGCGCTGGCCCCATCGCTGGGGTAGCGGAAATAGATCTGGGAGTAGACGTAGTACTTGCCCGCCTGGTTGACGCGCAGACGGCCATCCCGGTAGGTGATGTTCTGCAGGTGTGCATGGATGGTGCTGTCTTCCCAGCGGGCAATGGCGTGGCGGCAGGACTGGGAGAGGTTCCCGAAGCGCTTGGAGTTCCCTGGGGAGGAGGAAGGGTCACCAAGGGGAGTGAGATGCTCTGGGGAGCACCTGTCAGGGTCAGGAGAAAGGGAGGGGTGGCTCTAACTCTCTCCAACAGCCATGCAGCTTGGAGGGGTGGAGAAGGTGGTCTTGGACTAGACCAGAGGAACATCTCCCCATCTGCCACCAAATGCTTCCTGCCATCCTTGTCCCCTGCCCTTTGTGTGAGATCTTTCCCCTGTTCCCATCTCAGAGACTCGCTGGTGTGCAGCAGGGCTCCCCAACTCACCATCCTGAGCCAGGCTCTGCGGGCGAAGAGTGAGATGTGCCGAGGGTTTTCCAGGTGTTTTGGGAGGAGCCTGCCCCTCAGAGGTGTTGAAGTAGCTCCGTCGGGCCTCTGTGAAGAAAGGGACACACAGCTGTAGAGGACAGAGGGTGTGGGGACCCCCAGTCCCATGCTGGCAGAGCAGGTCCTTACTAAGCAAGCAGAATGAGCAGGGCAGGGAAATGCCCCACTGACCCATTGACAAGGGAGGTTATTTGGGGATGAAAATGCCTAGTCAATCATTATCTAGTATTTCTGTGCTGTCCGCTGTGGCACTGGTTCCCCAGACTCCAGACAGACATACATGGCTGTCCCGCCAACCCTCTCCCTGGGGACATACGCCCTTCACCCGCCCATTGGGACAGTCCTTGCTCTTCCCTCTCCTGCCTAAGCTCGCGGCACTGTGGCCAGCAGAGTTTATCCTGCGAGCGAGCGAGCTCCCCCCAGCCTCGCTGGCAACTCCAGCCACACACTGAGCCCTGCGCACGGGGACCACGGGTCCAGCTGAAACCTGGCCCCAGCAAAGAGGTCGCTGATGCTTTGCAGCACCGGTGCTGGGCCAGGAGGGACTCACCCTTCACTGCGCTCCTGCGGACAACGTTCTCTGTTACCTGGACCATCAGAGAAGAGAAACAGTCCCACAGTTAAAGGTGAAGCAGGTGTTCCCCGTGCCCCAGCTCCTTTCCTCTCTTCCAAGCCTTCATGACCTTGTCTTTCATGCTATGGCTTGCTGCAGAGGACCTGGTATCCAGCCCCACTTCTCCACCCCCCTCTTAAACCATCCTTGCAATTGCCCATGGCCACCCCTCTGGAGAGGTTGATGGGGAAACTGAGGCAGGGAGGCAGACAGGAGCTCCCCCATCAGTTGTGCCATCATCCCCCTGTCCCCAAAACTGCTGGGTCTGGGCTCACCGTGGCCACGTAGGCTTTGATGGTGTTGGCCAGCTTGAGGCAGGACTGGTTGCTGATCAGCTCCTCCAGGCTGGAGCCCTCCTGCTGCTGATTGATAACCTGCAGGCACCGCAGCTCCTCCACACTACCCGGCACCTGGGCTTTGAGCTGCAACAGAAACACCCGGACGTCTCTGCGTCAAACTGGGCAGACTTGGCTGGAGGGAGGAGCAGGGATGCCCAGCAAGGTGTGTGCATGGCCACATTGTGGGGTGGGCAGTAACCCTTAGCTGCTCAGATCCCAGAGCTGGTGGTGGGACAGGGTGGTCCCACCAGGATGCAAGCACCCACTGTGTTTCCTGGGCTGGGAAGGAGTTGGGTGGCAGGAGGCTGGGTAGATCCAAAGTTCTGTCAAAAATCTGGTTTTGTGAATTGGACAGGTTAAATCTCATCTTGTCCTCCTATGATCCTTGGTGGAAGCGAGTCTTGCCTGTCCCTAGCTCTTCAGGAAACATGACAGCCCCTTTTGTTGAGTTCCAGCGCCGAGTGTGGAGGAGGAGAGACTCCAGGACTCTCGCAAGCTGCAGAGCACCAGGTAAAGGGAAGGAACTCAGACTTCCTATTCTCCATCCCTTTCACCTCTTCCTCTCCTGCCCTGGGGGAATGAGGCTTCTCAAACAGTAAAACCCAGCCTTAGCTTTGAACTAGATGTTCACAGCTCCCAGGGAAGTGATTGCCCTGCGAGGTTTGGCTCTGTTTGGTGGTGCCCAGAGGGAAGAGCTGCAGCTGCAGGCTGGACGTGCCCAGGCAGCCTGGGCTTTCCCGCTGCTGAGCTAAGCTGGGGTTGCAAAACAAGCTCTCACGCAGCTCTGCCCTTCCAGCTGCAGAGCCGTGCTGGCTGGAGACGGGACCCCAAGCACTCACAGCGCTGCGTCAGCCCAGGCCGATCTCAGACACTTTCTAGCCTGTGCTGGCTTGTGGTTTGGGCTGGGAAGCCTTCCCGCCATGTGACGTGGGCTGCTGCACGGCAAGCTGCACCTTCCCAGGCTGTCCTGGGCCTGACCCAGCTCAGCTTGGGCTGTAGCATCGCAGTGGGGGACAGGCACGGCTGGCTACAGGGTCTCACCACACCGTGCTGCTGTCTAGGGCGTGGAGAAACTGAGGCACTGAGGAGACAGCTGACCTGAAATCAGTGTGCCAGGAGCTGGGCATGAACACTGGCACCTTGGTCATCCTACCTTTATCACCTGGGTCATTCCCAGATCCCAGGACAGAACCCAAGAGTCCTCGGGCTTGGCCACCTCCAGCACCCTGCACTTCCCCCACAGCCCGGCTTGCTCCGAGCCCCCACCAGGCTCCTGCGTGCCCACCTCCCTCAGTGCAGTTTTGGGTACTCACTCAGGATGCGCTCATGTCTGGGATCCACACAGCCTCTCGTGTCAGCAGAAAGACTGCATGAGGTCAGATAAAAAGGGTTGGGAGGAGATTTTTCTTTGCACTATTGGGCCAACCATCTGTCCCTGCCAGCGGCTGGCAGATGGGCTGCAGTGGCAAGCTCAGAGGGACTGATGTGGTGGGTGGAAAAAGGCGAGCACAGCCCTAGTAGTATCCTCCCCAGGCTGAGTTTAGCCAGGCGGGCTGCAATTTTGCAAAGACCTGCCTGCCAGAGTGGGTGGATGGATGCACGGTGCCTGCCAAGGCAGTAAACCCACAAGTGACAGAGCTGTTCACAGGTAACTCCCCCAACATGAGCTCGGGCAGGGCCAGCGTGTGCACCTCCTCCGTGCATCCAGGAGCACTCGTTGTCCAGGAGCACTAATAGCAGCATGTGCCTGCCTAACTGGGGTCAGCCCTCCTCCAACCAGTCCAAGTAAGGTGGTGGCACATTCTCACCAGTGGCACAGGGACTGCAACCATGTGCCTCCTCCCTCTGGGTCCTAACAACTGCCTGGCACCGACTGATCTCACTAATTGCCTCGATTAAAGCTTGCTGTGATAGGCTGCATGTACCGCCAGCACCCCTCTCCTCACAGGGTAACCCCTCTGCCTGCCTTCCCCCCTCCTGGGGACCTTGTGCTGAGTGTTTAAATTAAGGAAAAAAGGGCAAAGTTCTGTAAAACTGGAGGCACAGGGAGTCCCCTGCATGAGGGGGTGAGGGCAGGCAGGCCGTGCCAAGTGATTTAGTGTCCCCTGATGCTGAGCTCTGACTATCCGCACCACAGGTCCCATGCAGGGATTCGGTGACTAGCCTCTGCAATTAGCCCAAAGAGGTCAATTTAAGTGGCTTTCTCTTCCCTTCAGCCCTTCCCTGTGGCTCTGTCTACCCACATTCCCCTCTTCTCTCCAGTGCCTTTCATGTAAATCCCTCACAGTGGGTGCCACATGGGATCCAGGGATGGAAACAAAGCCCAAAACGAGGGCTGGAGTCTGCTCCAAAGGATGCTCCACAGGGCACCAGATGGTTCCTCCTGCATCCATGGGCAGAGCTTTTTCCTTTTTTCCCTGTCTCTGTTGTGGTTTTGTGCAATGCTTGGCACTGCGGGACCCTTTTCTTGATAGCTGATGGGTACCAGCCGTGGAGCTGCCCGGCAGGCCTGAATTTCCCTCTCCCCACAGCAAAGATCTCTCTGGTGTTTTTCCCTCCTTGACCCATGTCTGCTGCTCAGGAGTTGCTGTGGACCTGAATCAGCTGCTAGGGGGGAGTCTGTTGGCAGGATCAGGCCTGTCACGTCCTAGTTTGGGAACAGTTTTTGGCACGGCTATTTGGTGTGCAAGCACCGGAGAGCTGATGGTATGGGGGGGCTTTCCTAGCCAGGTCACTTCCAGCATCTCACAAAGGGGATGAGGAGGATCTGGTTGTTGGGGGGTGCAGGGGGCAAATGGAGGGGTTGAAGGGGGGGTGAAGTAGGATCCAGGGGTGAATGAATGGGGCCCGGAGCCTCGGGCAGCTCCCCCCATCCCCTCCTGGAGCTGTACACTCTGACGGGACCCCAGGGCAGGGCCCCCCTCCCGGCGTGGACCCTCGGGACAGCGTCCCCGAAGGGACACCTCAGGCTGCCGGCACAGGGCAGCGTGAGCGCTGGTGGGGTGCCCGCGGGGTTGGGGACACCCAGCTCCCAGCAGCCAGACACACACACGCCCCCAATCCCGCCTGGCGTGTAACACAAGGTCTTAGGGCTGGGGGGATGTAGATGATGGGGCCACACGTCCCGGGGGGGGTGGGCACTGGGCCAGCAGGTCTGGCAGGGCTCAGCTGGCCACCCCGGGAAGCTCAGACAGGTAAAAGTTTGCAGAAAGGGGGTCAGTTGCTCCTGGGCCTTGCCCGGAGAGGCAGCGTGCCCAGTGCCCAGCGGTGGGAGCCCACCCTGGGCTAGGAGGCTGGGAGCAGGGCAAGCTGTCCCCTGTGCATGCTGGCCTTCGGCCACCGAGCCCCAGCGCTCTGTCCTGCGGGTGGGTAGCGTTCCCTGTCGCTCTGAAGTACAAACGTTGAGTTGTTTGGAAAGCAAACAGTAAGACTGGAGAAATGGCTGTTATCCTGATGGCTGCAATAGCCACTCTGTGGTCAGGTGAGTCTGTGGCTTTTAGTGCTTTTACCTCTGAAATGGAAGTGAGATGTTGATAAAACACACAGGCACTTCGGTGCTCTCAGAACCGCTCCCTCCTCTCCAAGGATGGGGTGTGGGAAACGTGGGCTGGCCTCAGCCCAAACCCACAGACGGCTCTGGCAGCCCCAAGCGGTTTAAGGGGGAAATTTAGGATAGATGGCAAAACAAGGACCTGACTGAGATTCTGGGCCCAGGTGAGACCCACGATGGAGGTAGTTGCCCTGTGGCCCACCCCTGTCCCCTAGGCTGGGACACAGACCAGTGCCGCAGCCACAGCTATTCACAGGGACGTGCCACAGCGATGTGGCCATGAAGCCAGAGCTGCTCAGAGTTAACCAGGGCTAACCTCCCTGTGTGCCACAGGGATCCCCAGCTAGTGCTGCTCACCCTCAGTGAGAACTGGGAACAAAAGCCCTGCCAGGCTGAGCTTTGATCCTCAAGGAACTTAAAACTGTCTGTGATATTTCAGTAATAACATCAGTTCAGGTTTTGGTCCTTAAGCCTGGACTTTCTGGTCTGGGTTTTGCAGAGCATGTGTCATCTAAGGACCCCCCAGCTTGGGGAGCGGGGAGACCTGGTAGGAAGAGGTAGCTCACAAGTGGCTCATTTCTCCAGTGCTCTCATACAATGAAGGGCTGCTTTTTTTTTTTTTTTTTTTTCCCTTTAAAAAAGAAACTTGTCCCACTTCATATCCTGCCTGCCAGGAACAGCACTGTCTCTTCCACCGAATCCTCTTGCCTCCCTCTAACTTCGTGCAGCCCTGTTTCCTGCAGGGAGCCCCAGCGGACACCGGGGGATGCAGGAGAAGGCAGCTATTCGCAGGTACCACCTAATTAAAAGGGAAGGAGCAGGTTTAGCTTCTCTTTTTAATGATTTGTGGGGCTGGGTGAAAGCAGCAACTCCCTCTCAGCTCCCTAATTGCCTCGGGGTTGGGTGGGGGAACAGGAATTGTCCTTTCCCTTAGCTGCCAGGGCAGGAGATTGAAGAAAATCCTCTGAAGCATCTTTCCAGTTCTGCTTTTTTGCTTGTGCTCTCTTGTCCCACCTTACGCACAGTGCCATTACCCCCACAGGACTGCCCACCCTCCTGTGGGTTAGAAGGAGAATGGTGAGGCTGTTTGAGGTTCCCCCCACAGGAGATGGGGCTGAGAGCAGGTCTCCCTGCCCATCCCCAAATGCAGCCACCACTCGGGGTGTGGGGAGGTGAGAGGGTGGCCCTGTTGTCCGAGATGGTCATGCATGGGGCAGAGAATGGCAAAGGCTCAAGCAGGTCCTGCCTTTTCTTCTGCCTGATTTAGAGCAATCCTGCCTGTGAAGGAGAGTTGTCCCCATGCACCGGGAGTGACCCCTGGTCCCTCTCCTTTCTCCTTTCCTGGTCACTCCAGGCTCTATCTGGTTGTGGCAGCAGCCACCCTTGGTGGCCCATGGGTGTCCCTGGCCTGTGCTGGTGGCTGTTCCTGGCAGTGGGTGTTGTCTCTGCAGCGGCTCACACCCATCTTGCAGGTGCTGAACCCTAGCATGGGGATGCTGAGCACCCAGACAGAGCAACTGGAGGTTGAAGGTGGCTTTTGTGTAGGAAGAGTCATCTAGAAAGGGCCAGCAGTGCTGCAGCAGCGATGCAGGGGAGCCCCTGCCCAGCCTCGCATCATGCCCTCCCTGCCCCACATTTCTCCTAGAGCAGACACTTGTTTTGGGGGTGATGGCTGCCTGGATGACATCAGTATCAGCTCTCGCCTTGCTCCTCAGGCTGACATCTGTGCATGTGTCCTTCCTCCAGACCCTTGCTCTCTGGACCCTTCACTGCAGCCTGGCTGGGTTGGCATCACACATACCCCAGGAGCAGTTTCGAGTGGGTCTCCTCCACAAGCCCCCTCCACGCATGCTTGCTTTGCCATGAGGTAAATGTGGGGACACTTAATCTCAGCACTGTGGTATCCCTAAGCCCAATTTTATCCTTAGGTGTGCACAAATGTGTAGCAGTCCCTGCAGCACCCGCCAGGCATGTCGGGCTCCTAGGAGCAGGCAGAGGAGCTGTGTGACTGGCTATCATGACCTCCCAAACATGGGAAAGTGGATAACTAGTCACCTTATCTGCTTTTATTGCTTTTGTAAAAGATTTCGCCAAGACTTGAATAATGCAAGCTCCATACAAATGTCTTTAGATCACTGATGTAATCACTTTCTCGCTGCATGAGTGTCTCCAGTGGACTGTGATGTGCAAAGGGAGAGGATGGGGGAGAATGTGTGTGAAGGCTGGTGGTTTCCTTGCCATTTCTGGGTAGGAAAAAGTTTTTTCCTTTTACTCTTTTAGCAGAAAGGCATCACCGGCGCTGTCTGGGGGCTGCTTCTCCCCCTGCTCCCCACCTCCTGTTGACCTGCACTGGAGCCTGGTCAGAGCGAATCTGCAGGAGCAGGGTGAAGGAGGTGGGACCCGCTGCAGACAAGAGATGTGAAGTGGGATGCTGAAGGGCTGAGGACTGATTTATTACCAGTGGTCCTGGCCAGAGCCTTTCACCTTGGACTGCTTGTTGGTCTTAGTCCCTGCTCTTCATCTCTACCACCCTTTGCTGTCCTTCACTCTTTCTGCAGGAAGGTGATTCTGAACTCCTGGTGACTTATCTTGCAGGGACCTGCATGGGAAAAACGCTGCCCCTTCCACCTCTGTGCTGTGTCAGACACACAGGATGTTCCTGAGACAAGGGGTTCTTCTACCCAAAAGCATCTGCAAAGTCCATGAGTGGCTTTTTCCACCTCTCTGCCTGCCTCGGTGCATGACCCAGAGCCTGTGAGAGGCAGGTGCTGCTCTGCTCAGCACTAGTGTCAGTGCAGTCCCTGCCCTGGCAAGTAGCTGTTGCCTCAGGTGAGATGCCTCCATTGCAGCTGGGGAAGGGCACGGAGTTAGTAGAGAGATGACTATTCATTTTTTAAAAATCCAATGAAAAATTAACTCTCCTGATCTTCTCATTTAAAAAGGCTCAGGACCTTCAGAGACAGATGGAGGGGAGGAGCTAGAAAAGGCACATCTGTAGCACAAACTACTTGCAGAACCTTGCTCTGGTCTCAGGCAGCAATTCTGCCTGCTTCTGGTATTGGAGGGCTGCATGCAGTGGGGGCTCGCAGGGAGCCCCCATGCCAGGGGCAGTGTTTGCCTGTCAGAGCAGCCAGCCAGGCTGGGTGGAAAAGAGGCAGAGATGGCCAAGCTCCTGCTCCTGCTTTTGGTGGAGGTGAGCTTGAAGAGCGAAATGTATTTGCAATTTGTGGTGTGGATGTATGTGCAGAAGCAACCCGGGTACCACTCATCCATGTGTTGAGATCCTGGGCCATGTGCTGCTCTGCTGGATGGGGCAAGGGTGCCCATGGCTCTGCTGATGAGCAGAGGGAAGCCTGGAGCTACAAGAAGTTGGTAGCTTGGGACTGCTCTCCATGTCTTGGAGAGAGGAGGTTTGCAGAGCAGTCAAGCCTGTGAGTGAGGGCAAGACCAGAGCTGGAACTATGCAAAGAAAATTGGGTGGGAGCCAGATAAAAAAATGACTCCTGATATTGGCTGAGGAGTTGTTTTTCACTTTTAATGTTTCCTGGTCTGTGCACTAGGAGAGCCAGGTCAGCTGATCCTGGAAATTTGTTTCCTCAGCACTCAGTGGTGCAGAGCAAGTGCAGGAGAGTGGGAGAAGGTGTTTTGCTGGGGTCTTGCCAATGTTGTCAGCAGGGTGCTCAGGTGGGGGAAACCAGGCAGAGAGTACCTGGATGGGGGTGTGATTTGTGTGTCTGGGATTTTCCAGTCTGTCCCTTGGATTCGCTTCAGCTTTGCTTCAGACAGGATGGTTGAATGTGCCATTTAGTCATGTTACATTCCCATGTTTTACGGGGATGATAGTGCGTGCAGGATCTGTTGGGTTAGCCTAGACTGGACCCTCTCTTAGTCTGGGTTAGCGACAGGGCATTCCTTCCTGGTTTGCATCTTTGGGAGCAGAGTTCCAGTGCTTGGTGTCGGCTTCCTGAGGCTGTTTCTTTAAGACAAGCCACAGCCTGGTGTCTTTTGCTCCCGCAGCTGATGATTTTTAACATGTGTTGGCTACATGATCTTCAGCCAGGAAACAGCAGCCCCCCGGGAGGTGAAATCATTGCGTGCAGCTCAGGAACGCCTTTGCTAACCTCCCTGGTATGCTCTCTCAAACATTTGTCTTTCGATTTGATCAATTCCGGTGCTGGGATTTTTTTCTGGGGGAAAAACCTCTTCCCCATCACACCATACTTCGAAGACTTAATGGGAAGGTCAGTGTTTCCAGCTGAGGCACTGGATCAGCTCAGCTTCCTGACCAAGCTCTGCCCTGACCACCTGGAGAACCCACTGGGACCTCTGTGCAGGGCTCAGTTCTTCCCTTTGGGCTGGCATGGCCTTGCCATTCCCTGTGCTGGGGTGGCAGGGACCGACCCTGCTCCCTTGGCCGGCTCTGATCCATGCCCAGCAAAGCCAGGGCAGTTCACCTCATCTGTGGGGCAGCTCAACATTGCACCTTGTAGCTGTCGCAGAAACCTGGGAAACAGGGGATGCCAATGATGTGCCTTGGCCTCCTGCGCCTCTGTGCCTCAGTTTCCCCTGACCAGCATAGGCTCTCAGAAGGCCTCGCTTCCTGCATGGTCTCCCAAGCTTGAGATGACTGGCAGGAAGATGTCCAGGCTGGACAATGTCCTTGTTCATCCTGGAAAATGCTGAAAATGCTCTGCTGCAGTGAAGTGCCCTGACTGGTTGGTCAGAGGGAGGAAAGGCTGGTTTGGAAGCAGTTGAAAGATGAGAAAAGACTTAAATAGCAGGAGGGCTCCCAGAGCCCTTATTATGTAGAAAGGCGGTAGATGGGAGGGCCAGCTCACCCCCTCTGAGGGTGATACCACATTTCCTGGGTGATGCTTTGACCCGTGGGTGGAGAACAGGGAGCTGGTGCCAGCACAGTGTGGATTCTGGCC